AACATGAGGAGCTGTACTAAAGGGTCACAGGATTAGGAAGATTGAGAACCACTGTTCTAGACTGCAGTACTTTTTCACACATGGCATACTTTCTCACAGACACACATGCACATAAATAAAAGTCTGTCGTAGGGTTTCTTTTGCTGTAGAGACTCCGTGGCCACAGCAACTAATAAAGGAAAACATTTAATTGAATCTGGCTTACAGTTTGAGAGGTTTAGTTCATAAGTCATCACGGTGGGAAGCATGCACATGCTGACAGATGTGGTTCTGGGGAAATAGCTGGTAGGCAGCAGGGAGAGACTATGAGCCACTAGGCCTAGCTTGAACTTTATAACTCTCTCCCCCACATCGTGACACACTTCCTCCAACAAGGCCATATCTGCAATAACGCCACTCCTTATATGAGTTTATGGGGGGCATGTTCTTTCAAACTGTCAGTGTCTCAAGTAGAAATTGTTATCTTACTCATGAAATGTGTATATGTATGTACGTATGTACATATATATATATATATATATATATATACTTATAAATTCTTTTGTCTTCAACAGGAGAATTACACATACCATTGTGACATTTTTACCTTACAGAGGTGTATAGCCATTTCCATAATCAAGTTTTGTAACAATTTTGTCTCTCTAAAAAGATTTCTCATATCATCTGTAGCTTATGGTTCCATCTTGAAACCTAGTAGCTATTATTCTACCCTCATCTATGCAGGTTTGCCTTTTCTATACATCCATATAAGTAAAATCACATATGTGCTCTTCTGTAACCCAATTTTCCACTTAGCATGTTTTGAAGTTCATTCATCCATGCCTTAACATAGGTGACTTTTTAATTCCTCATTGTTGTTAAACAGTGTCCATTGTCTGGTCACAGCACACCACAGTTTTATTCTCCTGTCAGTTGAACATGTTGTTTCTAGCTTGAGGAATGCAAGAATTGGGCTGTTTCACATATTTGCGTAAAGGTCTTTGTGTAGACCCATGCTTTCATTTCTTTCATATACATTTATATACTAAATTTATGCTTAGTCCCCACCCCCTGAATCTTTGGGAATGGGCTCTCTGGCCTTGCATTTGCTAGGCAAGCACTCTGTCACTGAGTTGCCCACCCAGTCCTTATGTTTAACTTTTTAGGAATTCTCACAGTATTTTCCAAAGTAGTTGTACTGTTGTATACTTTTTCCAGCAGTGAGTGTGGGTCCTAACTTCTCTGTATCCTTGTCAGAATTTGATGTTGTCACTATTATGATTTGCTATTCAAGTGGGTCTGGAGTAGCATCTCATAGTATTCATCTTCCTAATAGTTATACTCTAACTGCAGCAACATTTGAAAACCACCTTGATTTTTTTTCTTTCTTACTTTGCTTCCTTGTTCAGTGGTGTGCCTTGTAAGTATATCTTTAATTACTGATCTTTATCCTAATTTCTATTTACTTTGCTTCTCCACTATTCTCGATTACTAAAATAAATAATAAGAAGGGTCTTTTTTTCTGATGCCAAATATTTTCTATACTTTCACTAAAATGAACTTCCTAACATGCTAATATGACCATGCAACTCCTTTGCCAAAAAACTCTTCAGGGACTTCCTACTGCCCTTCAGGGAATGAAAATGTCTGGCCTCTGCTTTTCTCCCACCCGCCACCCTCCTCCACCATCTCCCACTCCTACAAATATGTGCACCCACATGTATATGCCCTGAACACATCCTGGCCTGTGACCTACCAACAATTAGTTGACCACCTTGGATCTTCATGCTTTTGAACATTTTGTGAAATGATCATCCATCTCTGCTTACAAATGTTCTTTATTCCCAAGGGTTGGTACAAATAAACCTACTTCTTGGAGTCTCTCACTTTTCCTTCTTAGTCAACCAGTATCATTGGGTTTGGTGTGTGTGTGTGCGTGCGTGTGCGTGTGTGTGCGTGTGTGTGCGCGTGTGTGTGCGTGCGCGCGCACAGCCTGGGCCACACAGCAAGACTCTGCCTTAAATAATAAAATAGCACACATACATAGGAGTTGATGAGAATCATGGATTGACCCACATGAAATTATCTTTTTTCTAAGTAAAAATCCCCTATATGTGAGTTTTTGTGTCAGCTTTCTGTTACTATGGAAAAACACAAGGAAGGTAAAATAAAGGAGTGATTTATTTTGGCTCACAGCCTTGTGCATAGTTAGTTGACTCTGTTGCTTTTGGGCCTGTGGGAGACAGACCTCAAAGAACATGGAGCAAAACTCTTCATCTCATGGTGTCCAGGAAACAGGATAGGTCAGAAGCCCTGTGTTCCAGCAAAGGGCCCATCTCAAATGGCCTAACATCCTCCACTAGGCCCCACCTCCTAAAGGTTCTGACACCTCCCAGCGGTGCCATCAGATGCAGATCAAACCACCCAACACAAACGCTGGGGAGGGGGACGCTTAAGATCCAAATCACAATAACCAATGAGCCAAAATAATGTTTTTACTTACTTGTTTTAGGTTTGTCATGCTGTGACCAATAGGAGGTGTGCATTTGTTAAAAGATAGAGATTTCTCTTAATTACCAGGGCTTCCACTGGGTAAAATACTAGCTTGGCAATCTTATTTTCTAAAACAGAGTCACATGCATCCAGGGAGCTCACATCTGCAAACCCAGCATTTGGGAGGCTAAGGCAAGAGGACTATAAATTTTAAGTAAGCCTGGGCTACACAGCAAGACTCTGACTTCAGTAATAAAGTAAGAAATCACATGGCTCTCCTTGTCATTTCTAGTGCATAAAAGACTAGATATCTTTTGTGATCTCTCTCTTAATAAATGCATCTTGAATGGCTTTTGGTGCTCATTCCTGTGTTAATTATTGTATTGACATATGAAAACTGTTGACAGCATGGTAGTTTCCTAATTCAAATAAAATAAAGGATAGTTTTCATCATCTCAATTTCAGCCTCAAATACTATATGCTAAAATGGTTTATGTGTATGTAAACCATTTTATATGCATATATATATGTAGTGAATATAGCTATAAAAATTTATATTAGTATATGTATATATGGATTATATATATACACACACACATATATATATGTAAATGTATATATATACACATATATGTATATGTGTATATATATATATATATAGTTACTATAGCTATAAAATTCCCTTTGAATGTGGGAGATAATATGTGACAATAAAAATAAGTGGACAGTCAAAAGCTTATTATATATATATATGCATATATATATGAACAAATATATTTGTTTCTGTGTTTTATACCCATAAAGTAATCATGTTGTCTGAATTGTAATATTAAAAATATAACCATCCAAATGCTTGGTATACTTTAGATAATTATATGAAAGAAACACCCATACCTCATGTAAGCAGATTTCTAGATTAATATTTTAAACCATGAGTTTTGGAACTTAACTTTTCTTAGTGTCTGCGAGGCTCAGGGCTCTATGTGGAAGGGGGCAGGAAGATTGTAAGAGTCAAAGGTGATGGATGATTGCCAGGAGACTCTTACATACATGAGCCCAAGAAGATTATGGCGGCATGAACAAATGGCTTTGCCACCGTTCTCAGTGGCTCATATTATCAGACCCATTCATTGCATCATTTCAGGTTGGCACTGTAGGCAAAAGCTCTGTTAACAACTGTTGTTTTCCTCAGTTTTATAAGTCCAAGTCATTGCATACGCATTTTACATTGTTTGTAAGGAAATCCTTTAAGCCCTGTGATGCACCTGCCCTTTAGTTTCACTCAAAATGCTGTTTCTCCATGACCTTATGTAACACTTGTGAGTTATCAAGACATGCAGAGATTAGTTGAAGACTCTAAAGAATGTGGCTTATTTCCTAACTTTGGAACTCGGACTGCCCTGTAGGGTGCCACCGAGTGCAGCTCCTTTTCTGAGCGGAACCCTGCCCTATTGTTTGCAGTTTGGAAACCCGTGGGAGTGGTTCCCGGGGCTGCTTGCTCCTGACCTCTGTGCACACCTTGGTCTGCCTTGACCTCGCCCACACTGAAACCACATAAATCAGAGTTTTGACGTGTTGTAAAGTGCAAGTCGCTGCTGCCGAAGCTCTCAGTGTTCAAAAACTTGGGAAACACTGCGTGTCGTCTAGCAAAATTTACTTTTTGTATGGGAATATAAATTTTTGTTGAGGTAAGGCCTGTTCATTTGGGAGGAAAAAAAATCAGGGTGAGCCAGTGATAAACTTTGACTGTGCTAACGTGTTCGTTCTTGATTCTCTCTCTCTCTCTCTTCCTCCCTCCTTTTCCTCCCTCTCTTCCCCCCCCCTCCTCTTTCTGCTTGTCTGTAAAAGAGGAAGGTCTGGGAAAAGACTTTAATGTTGCACCTGTTCTTATATGAAACAGTAGATTAAACTTTCCACTGCAGTATGTGTGCTACTACATCACAAGCTTGCAATCACAGCGTAAGTACTGGTGCTTCACCTCTTCAGCTCTCTTCTAATGCCTTTGTTTTTGTTATAATAGCAAATGTCACACTCCAGCATGTCACCTTGCCTTGCCAAATGTCAGACACTGTTTTAAAGATGAGCATCTGTCAACCAATTGACAGGTGGAATGTGTGACCTCTACTAAACTTGGAAGTGTTCTTATAAAAGTTTTAAAGTTGTGATAGAGGTGCAAACATTCTAAGTGCTGTTTGACCATTTTCAGCATGTTGAAAAGCTGGGAGGCTATGGGTTCTCCTGAGACATTAGCTTTCTGAGAGGCTTCATGGAAAAGCACGAAAGTCCCTTGAGATGACTCAGTTGAACATGCCACCACCCATCTTCATGCACATTCGGCGACACCGAAGCCTTTCTCCAAAGCTAGCCTTTTAACGTTGATCTTGGTTTCCTCTGTTCATGTTTCAGGGTTACTTGTTATCTGAGACACATTCTGTCATGCACATTTTCTCTTCAACATTTAGAGTTTTGTTGACTGAACACTTGACATGCCCTCAAAGCAGGCCCCTAAAATATAAATTTTGAATTATTTTAGGCGCTGTCTTTCAACCCTGATTCTTTACCAAGAATGAAGTTATTTAAAAATTAAGATGCCAACAGGTAATTTCTTGTAAGTTCATACTTTTTGTCTATGTGTGAGTTTTATTTAACAATAAGGCAACAGATGTATATTAATATAAAGCTATATTATCCTCCATGCAAAGCCTTCCCCCCAAAAAATGATAGTTTAAAAAGACCTCTGAAACATAAAGCTATTTTGCTTTTGATGTATATATTTTATTGTTTGTTTTTTGTTGTTTTTACAAAGTGACAGATTCTAGCTACCTATCTGGTAACTTCTCAAATACTAAGTGAATGAAATCTGAATAAAATTAGGTTCAGAGGTAGTAATTCAGGTCAGGTGAGTTTTCTTTACTGATAAAACACCAGCTGTCACTGAGTGTGTCTGTAACGCAGTTAAAATCAAAGACACTGATTCCAGTTGTGACAGTCACATTCCATCCTTAGTTTTAAAATGTGATGCCTTTCCTGATGCTGATGGAATAACAATTGGCATTTTATTTATTAGCCAGGTCACTCCTAAAATATTATATGGAGTTAGAAGTTAGATTATTAAGAAACACGGCATTGTATAAGAAAAGAAAAGGGAGTCTAAAATCACTAGTTTGGGCCAGTTTACTTTCTTTTTGACACTTAAAGTCTTTGTAGATCTGTTTTTTCCCCTCTTGACATTTTTATACTCTTTTATATGCTTTCCTAGTTGCTGTGTGAAGCTGAACAATTTTTTTTCTCATTTCTAAAGTAAAAGGAAAATTTAAGCTTCTCAGATTCACAGTGGAGATTTTGAGTTCCTTGCAATTATGTCTTTACAGGTATCAGTATTTTGGAAGTCAATATAATAGCGAGACTTTTTAATGGCATATTTTTAAATTCCAAATTGAATGCCACGTGGAAGTAATGCCATTTTCTTCTTCACATTAGATGGTTCTAGATCCTGTTTTGGGCAGAAACAGTCAGGAGCTAGCAGCATGCAATCTTAAAGCAATATGACAGTCTCTTTAAGGAGAAGATCTCAGTTTTCCCATCATAAATAGTAGTTGATGAAGACTGATTGTGGAAAGGTCAAAGGTGAAAGAGAAAGCGAAGCAGGCGAAAATGTAGGGAAAAGAGGAAAAGCCAGAGAAAACATGACTCTTTCCTTGATATTCTGAACGTTTAGGCTGTATCTAAGCAACAGGTTAAGTTTTCAGACTTTCTTAAGACCTTAGTTTTTACAGCTTCAAGCTATAACTGAAATACCCTTGCAAATCAAACCTTATTAGATTGTATATCTTTGGGTTTTGACATTGATATGTAAAGGTTTTTTCTTTTTAGAAGTAAGAACTCTAAATCTTTTCCCATTACAATTCCAGAATTTTAAAAATATATTTGAGACATAAAAAGTAGAGTCAGAATCTAAACATAGCTTTGTTCGGGAAGTGTCTGTGCCACACGGAATCTCCCGACTGCGAGAGGGGCAGGCCCACTTTGTAGCAAGCCCCTCATCACTGTGCTGTAGTCTAACTGTGAAGATTTCTTATTTATGTTATATAGCTTCTAAAATTAATATTGTCAGTAGCCATACCCTTAGAACAGAATGATTTTTCTTTCAAAGGGATAGACAGTCTTGCCTATGAGATAAGGAATAAGATTGTTTCACTTTGAGAAAAAAATCATTCTCTCATAAATGCTGATTCATTCTTAGATGAGACATTCCAATTCCTGGCGGAATCAGAAGAGGTTAACCCGCTTTCTCTATTTCATATGCATGTGTGTTGTAGATCACGAGGAGCCCTGTGGCCCCAGTCTCAGGTCATTTTGCCTGAATGGGGGGATTTGTTATGTGATACCTACTATTCCCAGCCCATTCTGTAGGTGAGTGAAATGGACTGGGGGAGAGGGTGATGGCAGCGCTCATCGTTTGACTTGAGAAGTGATTTAAAGGTTAAGAGTGTAAGATGGAGGGGAGTGGGGATGCTCTGTTCTCTTTGTGTAGGACAATTGGGTTCTGCAAGAAAACAAAGCAGTCTCAGTATGGTGTTCATTCTCAAAGCTGGCATGGTCGTTATCAGCCTAGACAGATTATAAAGAACACGCCAGACAGGGCCTTCTCAATTGTAGCAGTCTAGGGAAAGCAGTCTGTTCAACATTGCTGGCAAAACATCATGAGAAATCACTAGTAAGGAAAGTCCAAACAAGACATTTTGCTTTAAATATCGAATAAGTAAATACAAAATAAGTAATGGGTCTTTAACCTTCTAATAGACAGTAACTACTATTTTAAGAGATTTGGAAGACACCATAGTTTATCCTCCAAGTTCTAATTGTTCAGTTCTGACTTTAAAGTTTTCCTTTATGACTTTTTAAAAATATCTCTATATTTTTTTCTTTGTTATACTCCCTTAATGTGTAACCTAATCACATTGTGGATAGGTGGATAGAACACTTGAACCACTGAGCTGTCTGCACTGAACAAGTTAAAAGACAGCACTAAAGCCAGACATGGCAAAACACTCCTTTAATCTCAGCACTGTGGAGGGGGAGGCAGGTGGATCTCCATGAGTTCAAGACCAGCCTGGGCTACCACAATGAAACCCTGTGTCTAAACAACAAAGGGCAGTATTAAGAATACTAGAATTGGAGATTCATTAAAATGGGAAGGAAACTTGGTTGCCTGCAGCTTTTTTTTTACTTAGATAAATGTGTTTTTAGTGCATTTGCAAAAAGTTACCCTCAATGAACGAGAACAGGCAGCTTTTCTGGTAAAATACTAAATTTAAGAATGTATCTAGTTTCTTCCTGATTTCCAGTTTTGAACAACAGTTAATAACTAATCAACACCATCTGTTTGTGACAGGTAGAGAATGAAGGCTTTGAAGGTCAGCCAGTATATTGTGTCACTGTAAGAGGTTAGTGGGGTTGGTCCTGTCTGGCAGTGAATGAACCATCCTGGAGGATGAGGAATCAGGTCTGCAAGAGATAGATGGGCAAGGAAGACTGAGAGTCAAAGAATAGGGTGTCTGAAGGTTCAGGGGCATTGAATGACAGACAGATTTTAAATCATGTATTTATTTATTTTTTTAAGAAAATAGTTGCTTTCCCCAGACCTCTACTATAGTTCTCATTAACAGACTGTAATACCAGTATCCGAGGGTGATAAATTACTATTTCCTGTGTTCCCAAGCATCCTGCCATTAAGAAACAGAGACTCACTTCTGACTGGTATTGCTGGTTCAGCCAGTTGTCACTTCAGATTTCTTCTTCGCCCTTAATCTCTCCAGTCCTTTCTACTAGCTTAGACCTTCCTGACCTCAGGCTTGTCCAACAGAAATAGTCTGAGAACTTAACCCCTGGAGCCCAGTCCACATCACTGTATCAGATATATGAAGGAAACTGGGACAGACCCTTCACCTGCCACCCACCACCTGTGAAGTAAAACCTTTCTGTTTGTGTCAGGCACACTTTGGTTATGTCGCTTACCTTGAATTTTCAACTGTTCTGCCTCTTATTGTGTAGCCACATTCAAAACCCACTCATACTTTAAGGCTACTTTCCCCCTAATCCTTCAGCCTGTCACAATTCTGAGTTAACTCCTTCTTCCCGTAGACTTCTACAGAAACATATGAAGGTTATTGCTGTATATTTGGGGGCATTTATATACTCAGCACTCTTGTTAGAATATAAATGGCTCCATTCCATCTCACCACCTGTAGAATGTGTCTTGTATTGACTGAATGATCCATCATCCATGGTGAAGTTTTAGAAATAATTTTATGTTTGAATCAGTGATCAGTATTCTGTAGTAAAATAGGTAAGTGAATTAGGAAAAGGAAAAGAAATACCATATTGCCGATGCCTGAATATGCATTACAGATCAGATACAATCTCTCCATACATACAGTAAGTGGCATTTTTTCCCCTCTTGTTTGTACTCTTATTTCATTGAACTTTCTCAGGATGTACTCTGATTTTCTTTATATAATTCATCTAGTTAGTATTTTAAATAAATGATTTTAAGCTAACATTTTCATTGAGGGGCTGATATGAATTCTTCAGTGTTTCTTGGTGATCACACGGAATTTCTCGCTACTCAGGGTGCTGGAGACAGTAGGGGTGCTGGATGGCCAGCCTGGAGACAACATGAGACTCTGTCTTAAAAAAAAAAAAAGAAAAGAAAATATTTGATGTTGGTTAAAATTGGCCTTGAAGGCCTGGTTCATGGACAGAATGTGAAGCGGTCAACCTCTGATAGAGGAGGAAGCGGATCCCAAGTGATGGGTGCAGGGTTGTCCATGTCCATTAGTCCAAGCTTCCTATTTCCCTGCTATCCTTCCCATGTTTTTATCTGTCGGTTTGTCAATAACCAAGGAGATATGCCAAAAGTTCCTTCTGTCATCTTAAATCTGCAGTGTGGTTTCTGCTAATTTTTGCTTAAAATATTTTGAAGTAACATTATTCAGCCCATGTAAATATATAATAGGTTGTTTTCTGTTAAAATTTCCCTCTTACTATATAGTGTGATAGTGGCCTTCTTTGCCCCCAATAGTGCTTTCTATTTTCACACATCACACTGATACTAGACTGACTAAGCCAGTTGTCCCTTGTTGAATATTTAACTAAGTAGAATTTTCCCTTCAACTTTTTATTAGGTGGTTTTATGTCTAAAATGTTTTTATTTTAATAAGAGTTTTAAAAAAATTGCTTCTCTGGTTTTATTACTGAATTTTTAAGCCAGTTTTTAACCATCTTCCCTTATGATTTCTACTGTGTTTTAAAGATTCCTTCTGATCTTTTTTAAAGATTCCTTCTGCTCTTTTTAGTGTGTTTTGTTTCATTTTTGTTTTGTAGCAAGATCTCACACTGTTGCATGCTGCCCTGGAACTCTTACGTAACCCAGGCTGCCCTGGAAATCTTACGTAACCCATGCTGGCGGGGATTCCAGGCATGTGCCTTTAGTTCTAGGACCTTCAACTACGTGTATTAGGATGTATAACACATGTGCTGAGCCATGCTGTTTCCCCTGCCAGGGATGTTGTCCTCCTCTGTCCGTTACGTACAGAGCTTTGCCTATTATCTGGGAAGCCTTCTGCATTCTGTCTAAGCAGGCGGAGAAGCTCTTTTCTTTGCCCTGTCACAACAATGTCACACTAGTATGAGGGCTGACATGTGAGAAGTTTTAATTTTTTATTTAGTCACAATTAAGTAGTTTTTCTTTGATTGTCATATCTAAGGATTTATTGCCAGACCTCCAAAACTTTTCCCTTGCTTTCTTGTAAAACGTTTACATCTTCTGTTTAGGTCTTTGTTCTATTTCACATTAATTTTTGTGTTTGGTATGAGTTAAGTTTTTTTGTTGTTGTTGTGTGTTTTTGTATGCCTGTGCAGTTTTTCTAGCCTTGTGTGATGAAAAGCTGTCTTTCCCTCATCATGTGGCCTTGCTGACTTGACAATAAGTGAGGGGTTATTTCTGGACTCTGTCATTCTGCTCCATTTGGCCCATAGTCTGCATTTACATTTTTATCACAATTTAACTTTTTAACACGTATTTATATGAGGGGAGGTGTACATGCTATGGCATGTATGGAGGTCAGAAGGCAACTTGGCAGGACTTGGCTCTCTCTACTCTGTGGGATCCAGGAATCAAACTCAGGTTACCTTGCTTGGTGTAAACCAGCCTTACCCACTGAGAAATCCTGCCAGCCCCTATCACAATATTTTAATAGTGTACTTTTATAGTTAGAGTTCTCCAGTTTTCTTTTTCAAGAACATTTTGGCTGATCAATGTATCTTAAAAGTCCCAAAGGCTCTTAAGATGGGTTTGTTGTTGTGTTGTTGTATAAGCAGACACTCAGTTTTGATTGGGTCTTCTTGAGCACCCATACAGCCATTTTATTTATGTATTTATGTTAGACATGGGCTTGCTATGTAAAGCAGGCTGGCCTTGAATTCACAGAGATCCACCTCTTCTGCCTCCCAAGTGCTGGGGCTAAAGGTGTGCACCACCATATCTGGTCACTTCTTTATTCTGTGGAAACCGTAGTGGTCATTTAAGGTCTTTGGTGTCATATTCCTTCAGAGAAGATTTACACATGCTCCTGGCAGGGAGTTGGAAACAACAACAATAATAGGTTGACAACTTGGTGGCCAGGATTCTTTGCAGCAAGGCTTCAGCTCTCTGTGGACACCTTCATCTTGTTTAGTATTGTGTCAAAAGATAAATGTTAGACTCTTTTCAACTTCCAGAAAAAAGAGCAAAGGCCCATAGAGCCACATGAGGAAAATTGACATCTTAAAGTTGAAGACTTCTGATCCTTGAACATGTTACATACCCTAATTAAGTTTTCTTCAGTAATCCCTGTTTTTTATAGTTTTGTTGTGATATTGTTGCATATATATGTATTCTGTTTTAAAAATAGGTACTTAATAGTTTGGTTGGTCTTTTAAATGGCGTTTAAACTTTTATTTTTAAGTATTTATTTTGTTTTTCCAGGACAGGGTTTTTCTTTATAGCCCTGGCTGTCCTAGAACTTGTTCTGTAGACCAGGTTTGCCTCAAATTCAGATCTGCCTACTTCTGCTTCCCAGCTGCTGGGATTAAAGGCGTGTGCTACCACCTGGCCTATTTTGTTACTTTTGGTAGAGAAATTGAATCACTGATTTGAAACCCTCCTTTCCTAAGTCACCATCTGTGCTCTATTTCCTAACCGCTCTGTGTATGTGCATCCCATAACTGAAAAGCTGTACTTCATTTTCATTTAGTCCTAGCTCCAACTTCCCTTTTGACTTATAATTTTACTCTGATTGTCTAACGTGTAATCAATCGTTATTGAACCTTTATCAATATTAGATACCTAGGTGTATATGTTAATAATTTTT